GAAACAGGTGAAAATGTTTCCTTATAATCAATGCCGTCTTTCTGAGTAAAACATTTGGCAACAAGTCGGGCCTTGTAACGTTCGATATTGCCATGAGAGTCACGCTTAGTCTTAAAGACCCATTTACACCCAACACTCTTACATCCTTCTGGCAATTCCACAAGATCCCATACACCATTATGTGTCATTGATTTAAGCTCATCTTTCATAGCATCTAACCATTTGTCAGAATTATCACCATTAATGGCATCTGAAAATGAAACTGGTTCATTATCAATACTTAGGTCATTTTCTGACTCTTGTAGATAAACCACGTAATCATTCGAAATAGCAGACTTTCTTTCTCTGTGAGATCTTCTTAATACTATTTCCTGTGGTTGTTCTATTATCGGATCATTGTTAATCGCAGGATCATTAATTTGTTGTTCTTCTTGATTGTCGTGTGATTCTACAACATTTGGAACAACAACTCTTGAAGATGTACTAGTTATTGGAACTTGTACCCTAACTTCCTTAATCTCCACATTTCTTGAAGCTTCACTCCCACTGGCTTCACCATTTTCAATGAACCGAGCATTTCCAGTTTCAACAATTCTTGTACTATGGGTAGGACAGTAAAACATATACCCTTTTGATTTTTCTGGATAACCAATGAAATATCCACTGATTGTTCTTGCATCCAGTTTCTTTTCTTGCGGATTATAAATTCTTACTTCTGCCTGACAACCCCAAACATGTAGGTGTCTCATACTGGGTTTCCTATTTGTCCATAACTCAAAAGGAGTCTTTTGAACCGCTTTACTAGGAACCCTTGTTCAACAAATACATGACAGTCTTCAAAGCATACATCCACAACGATACAGGTAAACATAAATTACTTAACATACTCCTAACCATATCAATTAAGGTTCGATTACGCATTTCAGACACACCAAACTACGTTTAGTGCCAACATTATGATGCAAGATCATGAGAGTTTCAGCATATAAATTATCCAAATTCAATTTATATAAACCATCATAAAGTGTACCAGTTCCAATCATATATGTACGCTTAAATAAACTGAAACAACTATTCTCAAACTTAAAAGAGTATCCAGCAACATCAAGCTTAGACAAAAAAACTAAATATCTAATGATACTAGGTACATAAAAAGTATCCATAAGGTCTAAGTGATATCCAGTGTCAAGGATTAAACGATAAGTCCCGACAGCTTCCACTGGAACCTTACTTTATTTCCCATGACGATGAACTTCTCATTTGGGTTTATTGTTCGGGTTGAAAGGAATCCTTGCATTACATTAGAAACACGAGTCGTACATCCAGAATTAATCCACCAAGTATTATGGGGAACTTCAGTTAAATTTGATTCAAAACATACATAAGCACTATGCTAACCTTTCTTTTCGAACCAAGCTTTACGTTTTAAACAGTCCTTCTGAAAATGTCCAGACTTCCCTCAGAAATGACATTTGTCATTTTTCTTCTGAATGTTAGTAGAGGACTCGTTAATCTTTAATGGTCCTTTACCCTTTCCATGTTTCTTAACAACTTTCTTTTTAGCTCCTTGATTTTTCACGTAATGAATAGAGTGGCTTCCTAGGTTCTTGAGTCTGGTCTCCTCCTGAACTAACATACTGTACAATTCATGCACATTTTATTTGCTTTTCATGGTGTTATAGTTCATCTGGAACGAACCATACTCAAGCGATAACGAGTTCAAAATGAACTGCATAAGAAAATTTTCTTCTACTGTCATTCCAAGATACTTGAGTCTTGCTGTGATATTTGTTATTTCAATTACGTGTTCATGCATACTACGAAAACCATCAAACTTCATGGTGGTCAACGTACTCATCAATGTCCCAGCGAAGGATTTGTCAGCAGTTTGAGAGCGCTCTTCCACAAATTTCATAAATTCTTTCACGTCCTTAGTTTTGGACAAAACATACTTAATATTGCTTGCTATACTCATTCGCATAAACATAAGACTAAGTCTGTTTGACCTTTTCCAAACTCTATAATGAGTTTTCTCTTTGTTGCTACTAGCATTAGTGATAGCAACCAGTTTTTCAACTTGGAAAGCCAAATCAAAATCCAACTCACCTAAGTGAAATTGGACTTTCTCACTCCAGTCAGGGAATTTAATCTATTAAAGACTGGAACAGACGAAGTAAGAAATACATAATAAACAAATACTTCAATTAACACATGCCTAACATTAACGCTTTGAGTCATAAAAACTAAACATAAATACAGATTCAAACATAAATAACCATTCTATGCATATTAATGTTCTCCTTTGGGAGATCCACTAATACACAAACATAATTACGCTAATCTTTTTATAACTTTAATGATAATTAAAATATGCATCAACTAGAATCACCTAACACCTTTGGGTATATAAATAAAACTAGTGACGCACACAAAATTATCTACTTTCATGTTCATTAATTATAATAACAACTAATCAACCTTTGGGTGATCCTGAAATGCCTTATAATAATGAACTTCAATTAGCCCATAAATCATTATTCATAATTTTAGCGTTCATACTATGGGTAATTGAAATAAAATCATTAATAATTTGAAATCAAAATAATCTTAAAATTTTGGCCACTTTGGTGACTAACAAAATTTATCATGCTTAATTTCAAATAAATAATATCTTTAATTGCTATTAACCATTCATAGCATTTTTATTATTATTAATTTTAACAAATATGTACATTATTCACATAATAAAATATTATGTGCCATAAATAAAATTGAAACTCATAATTTCAATTTTCATCCTAAGATTGATTTTGAATCCAAGACCTTTATTTGCATTTCACGTAAAAGTGAAATTGTCATTCATTTAAAACTTTTATGAGTAATTTAAACACAGCGGAAACAATACAATTCAGTTTGCAAAACAAAATTCATTCATTTATCAATGTTTACATTATAGGTACATTAACAGAGTTTCACAGTACATTAACAAAGGGTTACAGTACCCTTGACAAAAGCTTTCAGTACCCTTGACAAAGCTTTACAGTACCCTTAACAAAGTTTTACAGTACCCTTAACAAAGCTTTACAGTACCCTTAACAAAACTTTACAGTATGAGTATATTATACAACTCACCTTAACATAAAAATAACTCTTTAATTATCCTTCAGCCACATAAAAAAAATATACGTACAAAATAATGTACAAATAATATGAGGACAAAATAATATAGGGACAAAATGGTTTCAGCAGTCACCAGTCACCAACCAATATGTACACACAAAATAATATTATAAATAATATAATATAATATATGAAACCTGTGTGTTTAACACTTGCTCTCTATGCGCAAAGTTTATCAACTTTACGGTTTATCATTCTTCCATCATAATTATAACATCCCATCATACTTATAACATACAATGAAACTAATTTCATACATGATTCATCCTAACCCTATCACGTCATTTGCCTTTTCAATTAGAAAGGATTACAGGGTCATTCACGCATAGGGACTATAAAATTGGTTTCAATTTGAACTTGAAAACGTAATTAGGGTTTATTCCTTTATTTAATTTTGAGAAAAATAAATTTGGGAATAAATTAGGGTTCATACTAATCTGATAGAGAAATCCCTAAATTCATAATTAGGGTTTATCTTAATTTGGGAAAAACATAATTTAGGAAAAACTTTCATAAAAGGAAAATCATAAATCTAATAACTGGGCTCTGATACCACATGTAAACTTTTCTGTAGTTTTCCTACGTTCTTAATTTATTATAGAAAACTACTCTACAGGATCTTTAGATTATTGATTTTCACAATATAATATACATCAATACATGAATCATAGTAAGAAGACTAACCTTGATCCATGAGAATCTTTTCTTTGATCTTTTCGTTCTCCTATCTCCTTTTCCCAATCTATCTCTTTGTCTTTCTTTTTCTTCTCACGCTTCACTTTCTTGATGGTTTACCGTGAAAAACCTTATATGACCGAGATGTAACCCTAATCCTTTTTATTAACCAACGTCCATCAAGTTGGTTACCGTAAGTTAATATTTTATTTTATCTTTATTTTATTCTGACTTCACATAATAACCAATAGGTCATCATATTTTATTAAATCACATTTGGGCCCATTATTATATTTCACATGAGTCATATAATGGAATTAATTAATTAAATTAATTCTAACAAGAGGAACCATGTTACTGACATGTCGCACTCACTTGTTGTACAAATAGATTTATTCCTTCTGTGCATTGTCCCTCACCAACTATGTGAAAGAATAAGACACCGTTTGTAGCCTCTAATGCCTTATCACATGGATTATGATTTTTGTCTTACAACGTGCCACTTCCCAAAGAGTGCCACGGTTAATGAGCAAGCTAAAGAGAATTTCTGTGATTTCTATCTTTGACATGGAAAAGAGAGGGGAAAAAAATTAACAACAAAGGGCTTGGAGGAAGGATTTTCTTAATGTTCACAGCAACATATAGCTAAAAAATTACTTTTTTCATTTCTGCGCCCTCCCTTTTCTTCTGTTATATAATGTTAAATCCAACCACTGTTGCAGAATACTGTCAAAACACATTTCTGTGCCCTCCCCTTTCTTTTATATTTCAACTTATAATCTTTGTCTTATTTTGAAATTAGTTTTGCCAAAATGTGATAAACCACACTATGACGATAACATGATGGTTAAACAAGCTGTTGAAAATCATATATTCTGCAATTCCATTCAATTTATTATAAGTAGGTAAAGTACAAGGCTACATTCAATACAAAAAGAGGCTAATTAAATGACACCTTTATCAGTCAAGTTAATTAGCCTTATTATTTATGACAAATTAGTACATATATATAAACGCTGTACTAATATACATGCATCCTATAATGGATCTGGCCGGCTATTACATATAACCTCACCTTAATTATACATGTAATCAAAACAGATTTATTAGTGCCTCGTGAGAAAGGTCTCAAGTAGGTTCATTTCTCAAACCCAAAGAGCTCCTGCTGTCCTAAGCATTGGGATTAAGGACCTGTTTAGATGAAGGCTCATCACTTCATTGGCTCCACCAACAAGCTCACCACCAATGAACACAGCAGGCACAGAGGGGCTGCACCCTAGCCTTGAAAGAGCTTGCTCAATGTCCTTCCCTCTAGGTATCTCATCAAGTTCATGAACATTTGGATTCACTCCAAAGTCACTGAAGAGGGTTTTGATGGTGTGGCACATGCAGCAGGAACTCCTGCTGAAGATCACCACTGGCCTCTCTGATGCCATCTGTGTCACCCTATCCATTATGCTGCTATGTGAAGCCCACAAATGTAGTCTCAAAGGTTAACCAAGGATGGAAACAATGCCAGAAGTTTTGAATGCAGAAAGTGGTAACGGAAACCTAGGAAATGTGGGTGAGGAATGTGAAGGAGGAGGTACTTGAGGTTTTGGTATGTGGTGTGCATGATCCAGGAGCCAAATGGGGTTTGCTTATATAGGGGTTTGAGGACATGGTACGGTTGCTTTGGTGGAGTGACATTGTTCTATGCAAAATCACTTAGTAAAGAGAAGAGAAAGATAGAGAGTGGCTGAGGAGAAAGGAGGAGAATGTTCCATTAGATATTTGGGTCGGTTTCTAAATTTTCTTTGATCATTTGTTAGAAAGTGGTTGATCCATATTTGCTTTTTATTCTAACGAATCTATATCTATGCATGCATACGGAAACAAAAAACGTATCATTGGTACGGCAAAAAGAAGAAAAAAATTGTGCATTCACATCCTCCTCATAAACCATGTAACAACAGTGTTATAAAGAGAAATTAGCATTGATTTGAATGTGATTAGAAGATTATCTTTGCCATTATAACTTCTTTTTATCTGCTTTGATGGGGTTTCTTCCTTATCTATGTTGGAAGCATCTGCTGCTTTGAAAGGTAAGTTGAATTTATCCTTTTGGGACCTCTCTCTTCCTATTAAGATTCGCATCCAATTCTAGAAAGGGAAATATGGCTACAACGACGGAATGACTACAAGTTCCAAGAAAAAAATCATAATTAAATTTCTCACATAATAATTAGTTTAAGTATAAATATTATTATTATTTATTTTACTACCCAAAAAAACTAGAGGGCTCTCAGATATAAGTATTGTATTAATAATATGACTATAATGTGTTTGTTTCTAGATTTCACACCACGTTTTGCTGCTACACCCAGATTTTTTGCGGCTAAATCGCACCAACATTTTTTTGTTCTAAAAAATTATTAAAAGACACAAAGTTGGCTAATCAAAACATGGTTCCTTCCTTCAAATTTAAGGCATTATTCTCCATCCACCGGCTCTTGGTGTAACTAAAGGGCTATTCTTCTTAATTTATTTGCCTCTATTTTGAAATTTTACTTTAAAATCAATATAAATTAAAAAAAAAATGATGAACTCAAGGGCAAACCAAATGAAGGCTGTGATGTGGTGGAGAATTTAGCATAAAAGAATGAAAAAGAGAAATGCGATGGCGGATCCTGGCATCACAAATTAGGGTAAGGTGTCTTAATTGGGTGAAGTACATAAACTGTACACACAAATTTTCCCACTCTTTTTTCTAACCATTAATAATTAAATATCCTATTCTTCTTCTCAAGAAAGAAAATGACAACCATAAATAACTTATCCCCTTTTTCATTGCTTTTTAAGATACGAGACACACAGAATCCTCACATGCAGTATTCAAAACACAACCAAATTTAAAGGACCAAAACTTTTCTGAAATAAATAAATAAAAATTGCTCAAAATTAATGCTTAATATATATACAAAAAAAAAGGAGTATAAAATTCTAGTATCATCGATCATGGGCTTTTCGCATTTATTAATATTATTTATTACCTATTATTATAAAGAAAAATATTCCCAGATTTTATTAAGATAGCCTTCCTTGTGCCTATGATTCCCACAAGCATTAATATTTGTCTTCTTCTCACCCAGGACAACTTTGAAAGTTATATATTTTCATTCTTTTTTATATGTATTAGAATTTAATTAAATTACTGCAGATAAACATTTTTTTATACAGTCATTTAGTCATAAGTTAAAAAAAATGTGTTTTTATATAGAAATAACTAAATGTGTTTTTTTTTTCTAATTGTTGGACAACATAACTTTTTTTTCATTGGTATTTTCTTACGTTGTATAATCTATTATTGAGACACTCAGAGCTTGTCTCATTTCTAGTTGCGATTTAATGTTCAATTCAAAAATTAAATTTATCCACACAATTGAAGGTACACACCAAGATTTTAGAACTTGAAATAATTTTATTCTTTTTATCAACACTTCATGAAAATTACCTTACACTCGGTTTTATGAAAAAAATGCTATTAGAGATTGTAAAATCATGCTTTTAAAATAAACTTCTTGTACTAAAAGCATTTTTTTATATATAAAGTTCATAATATACATAATTTTTGGTATCCAATTAGCCTTTTATAATAAAATGTAAGAGAAGAAAATAAAAAAAATATAAGCAAGTCTAATAAGGGACTCATTTTGGGCTGGGCCTTTTTCCTTCTAGAGCAAATCATATGCAGTTTCTTCCAGCACCCCCTAATTAAAATAAATCTTATTTCACCTTGCCCCCATATAAATGTTTTTTTCTGGTTTTTAAATTTTTGAATGTCTAATTTTTAAACCCTAAAGCATTTTCATTTTTCCTTCTCCTATTATTTCAAAAATTGCAAAAAATAGGTAAAAGTCTTGAACTATCTTTAATGTGTATCAATTTTTTATCATGTATACTATCTCCTACAACAAGATTTTTAGCTGAAAACACCTTTTGAAGTGGGGATTGGGAATATATATCCAAAACTCTTGTTTTGGATCCCTCTTTTCATAACGTGTTTTTGGAAGATCTGTTTCGACAATATTATTTCAGATATACATTTTTGAAATGTGTTTCCAGAAAATTAAGTATGGAAATTTTATTCTAGATCTTTCACTCCATTTATGTGTTTTTGGAAATAATGCACTCTTGAGTTTATAATTTTTGAACTTTTTGTTTACATATGTAATGGAGGAAGATTTTGTATGAAGTTGACCTGTTAATGAATTTAAATAATATAATTTATTGTACTAATTCATTCACAACGAATGAGGTAAAATTTTAGTTATATATTAATATCATAACTTATAAATTTCATATATAGTGATTTTACATTTATTGTTATAGATATTTGCTACAATGGATGACTTGTTAAAATGGGTTTAAGAGGTTATGTTTAGGTTTAGATTTGTGGTTGTTATACTTAGGTTGGATATAATAAATGGTCATAAAGGAAGGAAAATATATGTATTGTTAGGTTGTGAAAGAGGTGGTAAATATAGGAAATATAAAAAAGATTTGCAACCAATTGTTACATGAAGTAAAAAATGTGAATGTCCCTTTAAACTATGAGGAAAACCTATAAAGAATGATAAATGATGAATTTTGAAGTTAGTTTGTAAAAGTCATAATCATTACTTAGTTGATACGTTGATAGGTCATCCATATCTTGATAGATTAACAAATAATGAAAAGTTCATATTAGTTTATAAGACAAAGAGTTTGATGAAGGCTAAAAATATTCTACTTATCTTGAAAGAGAATAATGAAAAGAATGTTATGAGTATAAAATAAATGTATAATGTAAGATACACATATTGCAAAGGTGTAAGAGGTCATAGAACTAAAATATAACAACTAATGAAGTCATTATAGCAAGACAAGTATATTCATTAGTATTTGTTTGAAGAGACTACAAATATTGTAACAAATATTTTTTAGACTCACCCTTATTCTGTTAAATTATTGAATGCATTTAATTTAGTATTAATGATAAATAACACTTACAGAACTAACATCTATAAGTTGTTCTTACTTGAGATGGTTGATGTAACAGGACATTCTCTATTGCATTTGTATTGTTGGATATTGAACGTGAAAAGAACTTTGTTTGGGCTCTTGAAAGACTTTGAGGATTATTTTTAAGAATTGATTTACTCCCCTCAAGAATTGGTTTGTGGTAGAGATTTGGTGTTAATGAATGCAATTGCAATTGTGTTTCCTCCAGTAACCAATCTTTTATGTCACTTTCATATCGTAAAAAATGTTAAAATAAAATGCAAAATATTAGTGCATCCAATAAAGGCATGAGAACAAGTGATGAATAATTAAGGAAGTGTTATGAATTGTAATGAAGTGGGTGAATTTGAACATTACGTTATAACCCTTGAAGTTGTTTGTTAAGACATGGACTGATAAAGTGATGTACTTAGGAAATACTATAAGTAATAGGTACATTGATAGACTATATTTATTTTACTTAAAGTATATTTAATACATTTTACTAATTATAATTTCATATGTATGGTTGACGCTACATAAGAAAATGAACATGTAGATCTATGGAGGTGTAAAATATACGTAATGGAGATGCGAGAAAATAAGTATGGGAATAGAAGAAGCTCTTAGGGTTTGAAACAAAAATTATTGAAAGAATAATTTGATTATTTTTGTGAGGGATATGGAGGTGCAAGAAGAAATTGAAATATATTTTCGATAAGCTTGTACTTTTTACATCAATATATTTTATTTCTTCACCTCTCCCATTACCGTGAAAGGACAAAAATAGCCTTTTTAAATTGTTCATATATTTTTCAGAAATATAATTTAAAATGTTTAAAAAAATATATGGATTACACATTCAAAGTATTGTGGATAGTATATTTTTTAAAATGAAAATTTGCACAATTAATTATTCTAAAACGCAAGTTATGTTATAAAAATAACAAATAATTTGCAAGGCTAAATTTTTTTATTAATAGAAGTGACTATAATTATCAAAGCGGGCAATTCAACCTAGTCCGGTATGACCTTACGAGTCAAGTAAAAAAATTTAATGATCTAATTTGACCTATATTTTAAAAGCGAGCAAAATATTTGAGCCTAATTTAACCCTAACAGGTCAATCTTAACTTAACTGAATTTTTTTTTTAACATTAACATATCTATACAAAATCAAATAATTAAAAAATATTTGAATAAAAAATATATTTAAAAAATTTAAATTTTATTAATGAAATTATTTTTTATTTAAGATATAATGATTTAATATATAAATTATAAAATAATGAATCAATTTAATTTCAAAATAAGAATTAAAAACCTATTCTTTATTATTAATAATTTATTAATTAAAATAATAATTAATCTTAACCTTTACATCTTGAAATAAGTTATTATTCGAGATTTATACCAAATTAATTTATGATACATATATATTTTTAATAAAATAATATTACTTTTATCTTTATTTAAAAAATTATTATTATTTTGTAAAATGGTTTAGTCCATAAGCCTACGGGATAGTCTGGTCTAAGTCTATATAGGTTATAGCCTAAATAGGTCGGGGCAAAATAAGTTTGATTCAATTTAGGTCACACTTTTTTTAGCCTACTCTAGCATATTTCTTAGTCTTTCTGGTTGATTCATCAGACTAAGTCTATTTTAACATCTCTATAATTGACATCTGCAATGAAAATTGAAAATAAGTGTAGTATTCCCACATGCAATTTTTCAATGTAAAAGATTGACATACATTATAAATTACTAAGTGTTTTGGTAAGCTCATGAATATCACACATCCCTTAGGGGTCGGGATCAAAAGTAATCTATATATATTCTCTTCTCTTAATTTACTGAGACGTTTTTTAAGAACAAAATCGTGACGGATTAAAGTTTCAAAATGAACAATACATTAGACATGATAATTAACCCTAACGATGTTACCAAAGCGAACATGAGGTTAGAGCACTCTCATTCCTAGATTGAACATTGAAATCTACTGTGAGGTCGAGAACATAATCTTGTTCCACTCATACCCTCTAGTCTTCAACTGAAGATCCTATGTTTTGATACGTTTATGAGTCTCATATCGCTTAGAAGTTGATGTCAACAATAATTTATATACATCTCTCTTAATTTACCAAAATGTCTTTTAAAGACAAAATCATGATGAATTAGAATTTCAAAGTTGATAATATCTTGAACATGAAAATTGATCTTAATGATGTTATCAAAGTAAATATATAAAGTTGTGAAACTCCTAGAAGAAACATTAAGAAAATTCTACAAGCATAAAGTTCTTATTTAAGGTCCACTTCAATATTAAGAAAGAACCTAAAATTTTGTAATAAGTGTAAATCACAAATCTAGATCAAATCACAAAGTTGTATGATGTTTTCTGTAAGTGCTCATAGATCATTTAACCACCTTTGATCCTAACAAAACTTTCTCAAGGATTGAAGGATGATTAACAATATTTACATAGCATGATTTTCGTATATATGAACCAAGAAAGATTATTTTAATTAATTGGTTTAGAGGGGAAAAAAATTAAATTAGAAGAAAGCAAGAAAGGTTACTTTTTAGAGTTCTCCGCTTGAAATGCAAGAAATAGGAAAGATTAGATGTAATGCAAATGGGGGAGAATATTAAGATTGGGGATCACTTATTTCACCTGAAATATTTAATTTGGATTAACATAATTTGATATCCAATTTCATCTACCCAATTACTTGATTATTTCTTAAGCTATATAATAAAAATTTCACCCCTTACTATAAATATCATAATTCTTTAGGTGAAATTAAAATGGAATAAACATTAACTTTAGAGACCTCTAATAGTACATAGCATCAAATGACTCTAACGTAAGAGATTATCACTACATCTTAGAGCATATCTATAGATCAAATATTCATTCACTAATTCAAATTGATTAAGAATCTTTATAATCAAATCTTAAGAAACAATAAGAAAGAGATACAAACACAGTTTTTGTTTTTTTTTTAAATACATCATTAAAATTTCCACATAAAGAATAGAAAGTTTTTCACCTCAATTTATCTAAAAAGAAAGATTTACCTACACATATTGAAAAGTAAAAGTTAAGAAAATATAAAGAGAAAAAAAAAAAAAAAAAAAAAGATAGGTCTTAAATGATGCTTGAAGCGACATATATTAGAGAAAGTAAAAGAGGAAAAATCTAGATGATGACTCAAAATTAGAGAATGAGAGAAAATGCCTCCAATCTTCCTTTTTCTTATTCTTTTATCATGCTTTGCTCTTCAATTTTTCTTTTATCAAATAAAGCTTTTACTTTCCTTTTATGTTGCCTTAACCCAAAAAGACCAAATTATAATAAAAAAAACAAATAAATAAATAAAATCCCAATTAAAATATAAAATTAAAACAAAGAACATTCCATTGTTCTAAAATTAGTTCATTTAAAATAAATATAAACTAAAATTCATGAAAAAACAATTCAAAATCTCTGAAAAAAAATATTATATATAGAGAGGCAAGAAGCATATGGAAGGGTGATGATAGTAGGTGTAGATGTTGATGGAACAACACTACAATAAGAATATTTGTATTCGATGGGAAATTTATCCACTTCTATATGCACATATCAATCAATTAAGGAATATATCCTTCTTTCGAAATCATGAAGACCCCAACACACATACTATACAAGTCATTTTTTGCCACGTACACCCCCCCATCAATTTTGTCACAATTTTAAATTATTGTTATGCATGGATGCTCCTAATCATCCTCTACGTAACTCAGAAATATAAATATAAAACGATGGATTTTGTAGAGTAAAAAAAGTATAATTAAAAATATATTTGATATGGCTTTTAAATCATTGGACGAACATATAAGAAAATGCTTTATATCAGTATATATATTAATGAAACAATGCACCCAAAAGAGTTCTAGAACTCAAGATTGTATTGAAGCACAGTGTCTAGATATTATTCCAGTACAATGCAGATTCCAAAAGCCGCAAGACTCAGAAAGAAGAAAAAAAGGGTAGGTTACGACATTATAATACAACTAAACCAGCGTTTGCCATAAGGCCGTGTTTGGATATAGCTTATGCATACGCTCTGATGTGAGGTGACATGAAAGGTTAATTTTCTAGAGCCATAGAGCACCAGCATCTCTGAGCATTTTCTTGAGTGAGCCATTGAGGTGAAGGGTCATGACTGTGTTGGCTGAACCCACAAACTTGCCACCTACGAACACTGCGGGAACGCAAGGGTTGCACCCGAGTCTCATCAGAGCCCATTCAATTTCCTTCCCTCTCGTGTCTTCATCAAGTTCATAGATTGCTGGTCCCACACCCTGCTCGTAAAACAATCTTTTGATTGCATGGCTCATCCCACATGAACTCTTGCTGAAGATCACCACTGCCTTTTGTGATGCCAACTTTGTTATGCGTTCCATCTTGGTATATTATATATTTCTCTATGTATACTTGGTCAAAACCTGTACTTAATTTATCTTCTGAAGCATATACTTAGTTTAATAAGATGAGAAATTGGAGGGAAACAGATGAGAAAATGAGTGGAGGAATAGATGAAGTTAGGGTGGTGTAGGATGAAGGGTTTGGGTTGATTTTGTACATGTGAGGAGTGAGGGACATATATAGTGATGAAAGGGCCATGCATTAATTGTCTGGGATTGTAAAGGAGTGAAAATATTGAAGGTTCTTGCATGAGTTGATGCTGAAAATATCCTTGATTTGAGAGGGACTTGTGTGGTGTGTTAGTTGCTCATGCAGATGGGTAGCTACTTGTGTGACAAAGAATCTACTGGGCCATCAAGATAAGACAAACACTGTGGGAAATGGGACCACAAAGATTAGAGGGAGAGAATAGGGGTGGACAATGAGGTGGTTCATGTGGATGAAAATACTGTTGATTACGTGGGTTTCATGGTGCGTGAAGAATGTCAACTTTAATGGGGAAAATTTCTAAATTACTCTCACTGACACAAATAAGCTCCAAATACTCTCATTCACATTCTCGTTGTTTGTGAGATCGAAGCATTGTCTTCGTTTATAGTCTTTAGTTTTTTTACGAGGGGACTTATGTTTCGTCCTAATTCGTTTAGAAAATTGAGACTACGTTTTAGAAGTCCAAAGCAAAAAGTTTATGTCGCTTAGGTTTGTACTCATAAATAATATAAGATTGAGTAGTAGAAGAAAACTTTATTCTCGATTTATCAATATTTCGTTTAGAAATATTTGATTTAGAAATGAGTATTTTGTGTCATCTGATAGTATCATTACATTCAAAATATTTTTCATGGATAATATTATTAAATTAATTTATTATCATTTTATTTTTAAAATTCATCTCGATAAATTAAAAAAATATATATATATATATATATATATAAATTATCATTAATTTCAATTTCTAAATTATATTAACTCAGGATATTATCTTTCATAACTTTTAAACAATTTAAATACATTGATGAATAAAAAACTAAACACATGAAAAAAAAAATAGTAATATGATATAAATAAAGATCAGTGACATCATTTTGTTATTTCTTTAAAGTTAAGCAAAATATAATTTGGAATACGTTTAAGAATCTCTTTAATGCATGATAGGGGCATACATACCACGTGGGATGAGCATGGAGGTCGACACATGGTGGATAGGGATATATTTGCATTCCTTGAGTTGAGGTACATGAATCTTTGTAGGTGATTATGGAATAGAATGAGTTATAAGGAGATAAGACTTTTGAAATTAAGGAGCAATTATGAGAATATTTTATATTTATTAATTTAATACTGTGTATTAAATATTAAATTTAAACTTAAACTATTATATTTTTTAGGGTATAATTATATATGATATTATAGTTAGGTTATGACTAGTGTGAAATTAGAATTGTTAACCATTTTACATGGTAGAACTTTGGTTCAAGTTAGTAGTTATTATATGATGACCTAAAATAGAATAATAACGAGATGCCATAATATAGAACAAAAATTGACTTGTTTTGCATGAGAAGTCAATTAGTAATGAAGGAAAGGATTCTCGAAAACAAATCATAATATTCCACTTAGCAATAAGCTTACGCAAAAGGGTGTCACTCTTACTCTTACCTGAATTAATGATTCGCCATCTCTTTCAACCATTTTTTTTTATCTTTTAACTTAAAATTTATCATTTGTTAGCCGAAATAAAGATATAATTGAAGATTTATATTGTAGAAAATTATTAAATTCTCCAAGAGACAGAAATATATATATATATATATATATATATATATATATATATATATATATATATATATATTTCCGTGTTGTTCTTTTCTTTTCAAAGTTAATTAAATAAAAATAAGAAGTTTTGAAATTTATGGGAAGTTTAAAATTAATGATAGGACTAGAGATATCCTATTTAATAGATAATATCAATACTAATGATAATATGAAAAATGATTTTTTAAAATTGATGGTAATATGAAAGTTTATTATATATATATATATATATATATATATATATATATATATATAGAGAGAGAGAGAGAGAGAGAGAGAGAGAGAGATAAATCTATTATAAATGTTTAATAATTTTAAGATACTTGTAATAATTTTTTAGTATTTAAGAATATATGAAAGGTATAATTGTAGAACCAGTTTTGAAATTGTGTGATTTTCATTTTATTGTTTTTCCTTGAATTATATTTTCTCAATTTTTATAAACTCTAATTATAAAGTTTGAGAATTTAGGAATTTTATTCTTAAATTTAATTTATTAATGTTTTAATATTGCATCTCAAATATGAAAACATTTTTACTACACGTACTTGAAATCACTTCATAATTGATTAAGTGTGCGGGCTATAAGTTTTAATTCACAATGATTTTATATAGTGCATAAGTGACATAAGTAGGTAAATTTTGATTCATTGTATAGTTTTAATTGAACAAATTATATAAATATACACATGAATGAACCGTGCATTGAATTTCGGCTGCATTGATAAAAGAAAATTATTTATATATATATATATATATATATATATATATATATATAAAATTTAATATTTTATTATATGAATAATATATATTCAATGAAATTAATGACAATGTTATGTATGCTTAATTGAAATAAAAGACATATATTTATTTAAAATTAAACATGGTGAACTTTGTTATAGTCATTAAAATGATCAAAATTTTAAAATTATTTAATATGATAATTTATATATGTTAAATTATAAATAACTTATTTATGGTTTAATTGAAGTTCATTATTATAAATTATTATAAAATATTTATGGGTTTATTAGTTGTTTTTATAAGTAAAGAGGGTAGATAATTTTGTGTCCATCATTACTTTTATTTATATACCCAAAGGTATTAAATGATTTTACTGTGCATATTTTAATTATCATTAATATTATAATATTATTTATATCATTATGTTTGTGTATTAATGTATCAACTAAAGAAGAACATTGTTCATGTATCTTTACAGGAACCTATTACGTTAAATTTCCTTTATTATAATAAATAAGTCTAATTTTACTTAAGTGTGTTAATTTGATTTGACTTTTTAAGTTGAAAAACTTGTTATTATTACTAATATTAGTGCAATGAAGAGAAAACTTATTATAAGGTTTAGGAAAAGTCAAATAGACTTAGCTTAATTTTTATACGAATGAGCATAGTAAGTAACATTAAGTTTGTTCTTCCCAAAAGTGTACAAATTTCATAAAAATGTGTGGAAGAGCGCTTTTAAACTACTGATAACTTTCTTATTGGGACATTAATAAATACCTTAATCACCATGAAGTTTGATGGTTCTCGTAAATATTACAGCAAGACTTAAGTCTCTTGGAATGACAGTGGATAAAAATTTTCTTATGTAATTCATTTTGAATTCATTACCGTTTGAGTATGGTGTTTTCCAAATTAATTATAATACCATAAAAAACAAATGAAATGTACATAAATTGTACAATTTATTAGTTCAGGAAGAAATCACACTTAAGAATCAAGGAAATCACGTCATTCATTATGTGAATAAGCATAAAACTGATAAGAAACATGGAAAAGGCAAATGACCATTAAATATTAGTGAGTCATTTACTATAATCCAGAAGAAAATGACAAATGTAAAACTTGGTTTGAAAAGAACTACTCAAAACGTAAAACTTTGTTTGAAAAGAAATGTGAGCATAATGCTTACACATGTTTTGAACTAAACTTAACTAAAGTTCTCCATAATATTTGGTTGATTGATTTTTTTTATGTACAACTCATATTTTTAATGTGATGTAAAGATTTCTTTCAACCCAAACCATAAACTCAAATGAGAAATTTATCTTCATGGGGGAATAGAGTGAAGGTTCCAATAGAAGTTGTAGGACTTACCGATTAATCCTTGACACTGGATTTCAATTGAACTTTATTGATACTTTTTATGTGCCTAGTATTACTAGGAATTTAGTTTTTTTGTCTAAGTTTGATATTGTTGAATATTCTTTTAGGTTTAAGAATAGTTATTTTAGTTTATATAAGCATATTTATATGATTAGATCAGGTACATTTTATGATGATTTATATAAATTAAATCTTGACAATTTATATGTTAAAACTCTTATGGTCTTGCATCATAATGTTAGTACTAAACGTAATTTGGTGAATGAATGATCTACTTACTTATATGACATAAGTGTTTGCAACACATTTCCAAAGAAAGGATGCAAAGATTACTAAAGAATAAAATCCTTCCGAATTTAGATTTTATTGATCTAAATGCATGTGTGGATTGTATCAAAAGTCAAACAAACGAAACGCATAAAGAAATGAGTCATAAAAAACACTCAACTTCTTGAAATCATATACACCAATATATGTGAACTATTTGATGTAAAGTCTTTCAATAATGAGAAATATTTTATCACTTTTATTGATAATTTTTCACATTGTGGGTATGTTTATTTAGGATATGAGAAATCTCAAATAGTGAATATCATGGAAATTTATATAAATGAATTGGAAAGACAATTAGATAGAAAGGTGAATTGTCAAGTTAGATAGAAATGATGAGTAATAAATTTATATAAATGAAGTGAAAAGATAATTAGATAGAAAGGTGAAAATTGTAAATTTAGATAGAAATGGTGAGTATTATGGAAGATGTGATGATGATAACACTTGGTCCATTTGCTAAGTTTCTTGAGAAACATGGTATTTGTGTTTATACATAATGTTAGACACACGACAACAAAATGATGTATAAGAAATGCGTAAAAAACCTCAATGGATATGGTTATGAGCATATTAAGTCATTCATCTTTACATGTATCACTATGGATGTATGCTTTAAAAACTACCATATATTTGTTTAATGAGATTCCTAGTAAAGTTGTTCAAAAGCCTCCTTTGGAGTTATGGACAGACACGTGCATAT